CTAGTCACTCCTCGGAAAATATAGTTTTATCAGGCTATATCCCCCCAGATTTGACTATATGTCTCTAACCCTAATTGTGTTGTCCAACAACCGTAATACTTTTGTTATGTTCTAGTATGATACTGACCTTAGTATGAATGCAGGTGGGTAGACTTAGTTAAATATTTTATTATTTAAAAGTATAAACTCTTGGTCAGAGTTTTTTAATCCCGATGTGTTTTATAGTTTGTATATCTTTTATGGGTTGATATACTCGATTCACTATAAACAATGCTCTGATACCAATCTGTCACACCCCAAAACCGGAACGGCGGAAACGTTCGGGGGTGGAGGACGTCATGTACAGTATCATAACAATGCAAAGTAGTAAACAAGCAACAACATCATCCATTTCATTAATAGTATAATTTAATACAAGTGTGTTCTTTCATAGTAATAAGATACAAAAACAAGTAATCAAAATAACAGACGAGTCTGGAACACGCTCCGTCTTCTCAAAACCTGGTCGACTGTACCTGTCTACTGATGACATGAGAATACAAGTTATTTTGAAAGAGTTTATCAGCATTAAAGTTGGTGAGTTCATAAGTATTTAGTGTCATTGCTTGTATAAAAATGTTTGTATTTGAAGAAAATGTTTGTAATAGTTCAATGTAAATGTTTGCTGTAAGAAATTGTATCATCTAGAAAATCCTATATTTTCTACTGAAAGTAGCCTTCTACCAAGGCATCAAAATGTTCTGTATGTTTGTTTCTTGTAAAAGTGTGTATTTTCCCAAGAATGACTATCATTAACTATATATAGTTTATACATTAATGAATATGTGAGAAGATCACAAAGTAAATGTAATAGGGAAAATAATGTTTTACCTCAACAGCGACACTGCTGGTTATAAAGTGATAAAATACAGACTCCAGGTAGTATTAAATGTACAATACCCCTCGGGGAGTCTTTTGCCTTTAATCCCAAGTTGGTTAATTAAAGGTTTAAATGTGAACTCGTATGTAACCATGCTGATCGACGGCTGAATAAATGATGACCCTCCGGTGTCATATGTAGTGAGGTGACATTTTGTCACCCCTTGGCCTTATCGGCTGGGACTGTAGCTAGCAGTCGGGGTGTGGGAGTGTCTATCCCGTATAGATCTATACACAAGATGCCCGCTCTCCCTCCAGGAGACTCTGATTAGAATATGATACAACACTGTCTTGTTGTATCCTTAAATAGTATGTCACATTAAATTATCGTATATCAGTGTTTGTATAGTAAGTCATAACGTAGTAATGTTCTTTCTGTACTAGTGTATAGTATATTCTCTTGTATGGTGTATAGTGTGTTCTCTTAGTTTCTCATAATAGTATGTATTGACTCATGTATGAACCGACTCTTTGTATGTTTCATTGTTCTAGTAATAGTATTAGTAACTTCCTAAACTATACCTATTATAGTTTACTAGCAATGTTGTTTGTATGAATGAACATGTTTGTATACCTTTGCTACCCAAAGGTATTGAACTGAATGAAGGAACTTTTATATCTATATACATATACATAATATATAAGTAAGATTCAAACGACCTTCGGACAAACAACCGATACCCTAAGTCCACAACCAAACAAGGAACAGGAAGTAAGGTGAGCTATCAGTCCTAAGTCCTTTCAATCCTACTTATATAACTATATCTATATAGATACGCATTTGACAAAATATAAGTTTAGAAAGAAGTTTTGTAAAACCTTTTGAAGAGTTTATATAAATACTGATGACTTGGTGTCATTTTATAAGACGATTTAAAAGCAGTTTGGCATATAAGTTAGTTTAATAGAAAGTATTTAACATGTAAAAGAGTTTATAAAACGATTTGAAGTAGTTTGTTTGATAACACAGTTTGAAAAGTAAGAAATCCACTTGTTTGGTAGTTATTAATCACATGCGATTGATATAATAACTATATTAGTTCAACTTGTATTCCCCCCCCCCCCCCATAAAAGCATTTAAACTCATTTAAAAGGTTGATTAAGGGGTATGAACTCACCTGTAGTGAGTGGTTTGGATGAACGAGTGGTATAGGATGCTAGGTGTCAAGTGAAGACTTGAGCACACACACGGATCCTATTTATCATACAATCACACATATATGTTTACAGTTAGTGTTTAAACAACTAATTATGCAAGTAAAGACACCCTAGGACATGGAAAACACTTTGATTCAAGTGTTAGAAGTACAAAGGGTTGCATCTAAGGGGTGTAGGGCCTCACATAGGAGTTTACGGCCCAAATGGTAATACCCCCATGAGTTCACGGCCCATGGGTTTACGGCCTAATGAGTTTACAGCCTAGATCTTGTACCATTTTGATGTTTAAGGTCCTATACTCATCTTGGAAGTGTTCTAGACCTAGATCCAAGGCTTAGGAATGTGTTTGTGGCAACTTTGCACCAATAAGTAGAGTTTACGGCCAAGGGAGATTGCCTTGGCCGTAAACACCCTTTTGTCCATGATTTCTTTGTGTTTTAAGGTCTTACAAGTCAATAGGAAGTGTTCTAAGTTCAAGTCTAAGCCTTAGGAAGGAGTGGTGGCACAAATGCACCACTTATGAGTGTTTACGGCCCAAGGAGATTGCATTGGCCGTAAACACCATATGTTCTTGAGTTCTTGATGATTTCAAGGTGTAAACTAAGTGATTCAAGCATTAAAACAAGCTAAGGCAAGTGTACTTACAAGATAGAAGCTTGATAGGGTGTTTAAGGTTCAAGAACACTAGTGTGTGTTCTTGGTGTTCTTGGTGAAATGAAGAACACTTGAAGATCTAACCAAAAGAAGAGATTTCATGGATGAAATCATGTATATTCACTAGATATGGAAGGATATCAAGTTGAAAATGGAAAGATTACTTACTAGATTGAAGATTGGAATGAAAGTTCTTGATGATACTTGAGAGCAAAACCGAGTTCTATGCTTGAAAGTGTGATAATGAATGAAAATGGCCAAGTGTTTCATATATAGGCATGGAGTTTACGGCCACCATGAGTTTACGGCCGTAAACCCATGGTTTCATGGCCGTAAACTCCTCATTTGAGGGTTTAAGGCATGTTTGGGGGTTTGGAACCTTAGTTGACCCATTCTAGTATATGATCCTTCGATGTACTAAGCTCAGGATGCTCAAACAGACTTAAAATAGTGCTAAAAGTTAGCAGAAGCAAGTTTGACTTGATTGAAATGTAGGGTTTGTACAAGATAGAAATTTCGGGTTGTCACAATTGAGCTCTTTATGGAATAATTCATGCTAATAAGAGCCTAATATTTGGTTAAATAGGATTGAAAAGGAGATTGATACAAGAGGCATCAAGTAAAGAGTAAAAGCCAAGTGATTCATAGTCTTCGCTAACTAATAATGTGAGTTTTATAGAGCTTTTAACTAGGGATACACGGCTTAATTAAGACCTATGTTTTAAGATACTTTTTACTAGAGTAAGTATTAGTTACATTCACATGATTTTCAAATGATAAAAGTATGATATATTATATGTCAAAGGATTTGAACAATATGATATGAATATTTGATTTTATGAACACTTTTTAAAGAGTAAATCGGTAATTGAATGTTAAATGTTTTGAAACGCACTGAAAGGATGATACAAGATTTATGATTTATGTTTGAAAATGTATATGTTTGCTATGAAAATGTTTAATACTATGCAAATTTTTATGATTTATTTGTAAAACATAACATTGTGTGTGATCGAGTCTTGAAAAGAAAAGTTTGATCATGCATCGTTGAGAGAATTACATAGTAAGAAAAGTAATGTAAAAGTCGGCTTCCCAGGGTCTGCAAGGGGACTAATGAAACTCTATTAGGAGGGTACCTCCCATCGCAAAGTATGAGTCTCGAATAATAGGGCCAAAACAAGATAAGTTGTTCCCCTATGGTGGTCAGTATTTGAGATCACGTAATGTGATTGGTCCACATCGGACTATGAAAGCAAATAATGAAAAGAGAATATGGAAATGGGATGAAACCCATAACTTTACATTGTGTAAGGACATGCATTACATAGTTATGAAAATGTTTTAAGGATTATGAAAATGATATTTTGATCAAGTGTTATATATGTTTTGGGTTTAAACTCATATGACTCACGAGACATTATTTTCTTACGTATATTTTGTTTAAATGTCATGTATTCTATTCTAGGTTCATATATGAAGTGTTAGAAGAGTGTGATTGAACTTTTGATAGATATAAACTAGGCATAGTTTCTTACGTATATTTTGTTTAAATGTCATGTATTCTATTCCAGGTTCATATATCATTTGTAATGTCCAAATTATGTCTTTTTTAACTAATACAAACTACTTTATGAAAACTTTTGAGACCGTATTTTGATAAATGTAGTTTAATGTTAGAAAAAAAATTCATAGTATTTTGTTTTTTAAAAATCAGGTGTTACTATATTTATTTTAATAAACAATCAAAAACATTAAAAAAAACAAAAAACGCTAACGGTATTAAGTGTTTTTTATATTTTTTAACATTTTTGGTGACTAAAATCTGGGGCACATTCAATATGTAGTCAAATATGTCTCAAATTCGTTGGCAATCCATCAGAAAGTCTGATAATTGTGAATTTTGTGTAAATTCATCGATTTTAGTGACTATTTTGTGATGTAAACTACCTTTTGGAATGAGTTTTTTTAATAGTACAACCCCTCATTTTTCTTTCTCTATCCGTCACTCACTAAAATTATAATAAAATAGTGTTACAAAAGTATCTGAATGAAAAAAAAATGGAACATACGATCAAATAACATGGATGATTCTTATAATTACTCTTAAAATTACATACCTATCTTTAACTTTTTAATAATATAAACTAATTACAAAATAATCTTATTCTAAATTGTTTGAATTATGATGAAAAGTTGAAAACTTACACGAGGATCAATCTAAATATAAGCCATAATACGAGGGGGTATAAGTGAAACATTATCATCTGTATAACCCAAACCCCACCGCACCGACTCCCATTCCTCCCAAATTGGTTTCAGACATGGTGACGGAGGAACTCGTTTTCGTGAATTTCTGGTCAAGCCCCTTTGGGTGCAGAGTCAAAATCGCTTTGGAAGAGAAGGGGATTCCTTACGAATACAAAGAAGAGGATCTGTTCAACAAATCCCCTCTTCTGTCTACAATCAATCCTGTTTATAACAAAGTTCCAGTACTCGTTCATAATGGAAAATCAATATGTGAATCGCTAAACATAGTGGAGTACATCGACGAGGTTTGGAGCGATCGATCAACTTCGTTCCTTCCTTCCGATCCATATGAGAGATCACAAGCTCGATTTTGGGCTGATTTCATCGACAAAGAGGTATTCATCTTCCTTCCTTCGATTCTACTTGAGTATTTACATCTGTTAGAGTATCTCCTTTAAGTTATTACATTATTATTAAATTATTATTCGATTAAATCAAAATTTTCCAACATATAATGATTAAATTACTCTTTGAACTAATATGATTAACTTTTGTTTGTAGCTATATGAAGCAAGCAAGAAGATTTATAGATGCAAAGGGGAAGAACAAGAGAGCGGCAAGAAAGATGTGTTAAGAATCTTGAAATTAATTGAAGGGGAACTTGGAAACAAACCTTTTATTGGTGGCGACAATTTAGGGTTTGTTGATATATCACTTATACCATTTTATAGTAGATTTTATACATGGGAAACTTTTGGTAAATTCAGCATTGAAGAAGAGTGTCCGATTTTAGTTTCATGGGCCAAAAGGTGTTCACAAAAGGAAAGTGTAGCAAAGTCTCTTGTTGATCCAATCAAGATTTACGACTTCATTTTGTATCTCAATAATTATCTCACAAAGTAAATGTTTGGTGGTTTTTGTGCATGTTTTTAATAACAATTGTTCAGAATACATAAATAAAGAATGATCGTTTGATGTAAAAAAAGTGTAACTTTATGGCATTATATATTGAATAATGGTGTTGAAAAGTAGTGATATCTTGTTTCATCAAATGGTCACAATTATGTAAATTTTCTTGGAAAGCCTACTTACCAATTACACATTCCTCCCCACCTGAAATAATGTCTCCCAAACTTGAAAAAACAAAAAGAGTTGACACTGCTGGAGGATCCAGATGTTATGGCCTGTGTTTTTATGAATATTAATTTAAATATGATGATCTGTCATTTTCAAATGGGCAAAATTATCAACAATAAAGAAATTAGAAAAAAAAAAATATATGTTTCCTCTTTCAACAATTCATCAAACTTACGAATTAAGGTTTTCTTTATGATAGCTGAGATATAGTTCCCGTGAAATTATCATTAAAAACAAAAGAAGCTTAAAAAACTATAGAAAAGCAAATAAAATAGAGACAACTTATCCATAGAAAATCGATACTTTCTCGTCCATTAATACCATATCAATATTACTACATTAAGATGGTTTCAAGTAAACATGTTGCTTCCATAAACAAACAACACGTCCCTTGAACTTTAAAACATCGATATCAATATTCAAATCACTAATCAACTGATATTGTGAACTTATCTCAAACACTACAACAATTATAACAAATATACCTACAATTAGCATACCCAATGTGTCATTTATAAATACAACAAGTATGCTCTTCAGTAGCTGAACAATATAGTTTCACCACACAATAAATTGTAAGACATACAAAAAACTCAAAACGGCACCCACAAAAACCGGTAACCACATCCCAACAAATAGTCTTTTCCAATTGATTGACACACGGGGACGGTTTTAAGGGGTTCACAGTGTGCACCGGCAATCCCTAACTTTTCTGGCCGCAGTGGAAAAAATTTCGATTTTTTTTACCTATTTTTCATGTATCGGTAACACATATTCATCCGAGTAACACGTACTATGTATTTCTACGTTTATCTCTGTAATGACACATCGAAAAACAACCACTTACTAGAAGTTGTATTTTCAAATAACGTCACATTAGACATGTTATGTGGCTTTTAAATCTAAAGTTTTCAACAACTAACCAAAAATCTACAAAAACAAGATAAATCAATATTAAAAAAGAAAAGCAATTTATTCCATCAAATTATCTAACATTTGTTCAAACCGATATGTTTTGATTCAGCTTTAATGGCAAAGTAAGAAAATTTCCATAAAACAAATAAAATAAAATAAAAGAGTTGGAATCTTGTGGGACGTGTGCATCCGGTTTTGTAAAATCGGTTTGTTCCTATTGGTTGAGCTACGTCACATGTATTACATTGTCGTGCGTCAATGGATGGATAAACGCTGAAGTCAAACCAACCTAGTCTTTCACGCGCTCAAGATAGTAAATAAAATTAGCTCATATTACGAATACAAAAAAAAAAAGTATTTAGTTTTTGCTTTCCACTCAAATACAAAGGAGATTTTGTTACATACTTTGATAATTATATAATTATATTTTTAAAAGTATCATAAAATACCTGCATGTTTTATATAATAGCTTTTTGGCAGATAATTATATAATTATATTTTTAAAAGTATCATAAAATACCTACATGTTTTATATAATAGCTTTTAGCTCTGCCAAATTGCATTGTCATGATTACTTTATTTTGTAATTCTTTTGCAAAGCATTTTTAGATTGTAACATGTTTTAACGAGTTCATATATAATTTTTTTTCATAATTCATTACACACAAAACTTTAAAAAAAATGTAGATATGGTCCAGCAGTTAGTTGCATCGCTATATAAATCAACAGTTTAAATCTGATAAAATACATCTACCATTGTAAAATCAAATTTGAAACAAATATTAATTAAACGCGAAATACTTGAGCAAAACAGTGTTTTACATATACACAAAAGATGAAGTAAATGAACTTAGTTAACCTCAAGTAAATAAACTCAATTTACCTATTGTTATTTGGTGTGAAGAATGTATTTGAAAATACAAAATTATTTTGTTGTGTCTTTCTCTCCTAAATTTTCAAAATAACATCTTATTTTTTGGCATTTCACAATCACAATTATCATTTTCATTATTGGTAAAAAGAATTTGTTATATATGCTCAAAAAATTTAATATTTTTGTGATTATTACTTATTTATTTTAGCAATTAATATTATATCTAAATATTTAATTGCACGTGTAATCCAATTGTATCCAAGGCGAGTAGATATAATTTGTTCTCTAGTTTAGACCGCCATCTTGGCAACTTCCCAACTGATTTCCTTCTTTCAAATCTGTGTGTAGAAGTAATGGAGTCGGCGTTTCAAATCAATTCAATTAAACAGCTTTGATTTTTCTTTCTTCCATTCATCTTGTATAATAAATACCCAAACACGTATTTGGATCCGGTCGCAAAATCAATTTTCAAGGAGAAATTAGGGTTCTTATTGACAGAGGTTTAACAATTTGTGAAATCGGTGAGTTGTATGCGAAATTAATGGTGGAGGTAGAGATCAAACGCAATAAACTTACTAATGGCGGTGGTAAGAGCATGATATTGAGGTGGAAAGTTGTTGGAGCTTTGATAGCAGTTTTACTTGCTACATCTCTAACTCCATGGCTGCATTCTCGGAGATTCTCTTTTCTTCGTTCTCCCTGCCGTTGTTCTGAGGTTCCATCTCTCTCTCTCTCTCTCTCTCTCTCTCTCTCTCTCGTTTGTTCACGTAATTGTATTTGAAGCTTCTTGATGTGAAATGATGGAAATCCTTGAGACAAACGCTTTGAAGAAGATCGTGCTTCTTGAGACACTGTTTAGTCTTATGTATATATATGCCTAAATTCCTTCTATATCGTCGCTTGTAGTTGAACTCATAGCTCTTGATTGAGTTCGATGTTAACACTTTATTTCTGCAATTGAAAGTTATTAAACAAGGATTAGACAATGTACGCTAGGTTAGAACCTGTATTCGAGTCCAATTAGATGCGATGGTAAGCGATCAATCTTCTGAACTAGTTCCTGTTGAAAATCTAGGTAATTTAGAGATAATTGGAATTGCTTGGAAGTGAATTTAGATAAGCATTACTAATTTGATATTTCCCCCTTGTTCATTGAGCAGGATTCTCATAAATATACAGGCATTGTTGAAGACTGTTGTTGTGATTATGAGACTGTTGATAGTGTTAACGAAGCTGTTTTACATCCCTTGTTACAAGAGCTTGTTACAACTCCCTTCTTCCGATATTTTAAGGTACTGTTTCAAATCATACTATCTTCTTTCTATAAGACTAGTGATGATCCTAATGTGTATTCACACATCTTTCACAGGTTAAGCTATGGTGTGATTGCCCTTTCTGGCCTGATGATGGCATGTGCAAACTGCGTGATTGCAGTGTATGTGAATGTCCTGAAAATGAATTCCCTGAACCTTTCAAGAGACCACCATTACTCTATGGCCTTGCAAAAGATGATCTTATATGTCAAGAAGGAAAGCCAGAAGCTGCTGTTGATCGTACACTAGACACTAAAGTATTTAGAGGCTGGCCTGAAGTAGATAATCCATGGACTAATGATGATGAAACTGATAATAATGAAATGACATATGTAAATTTGCAATTAAACCCTGAACGTTACACAGGATACACAGGTCCTTCAGCAAGAAGAATATGGGATGCTATATATTCAGAAAATTGTCCAAAATGTAAGTCCATTGTTAATATTACTGCAAAAATTACCTTCTATTGACCTTTTGTAATCACTTCATTGTATAGATTCATCTGGAGAAAGTTGTCAAGAGAAGAAAGTGTTGTACAAGTTGATATCTGGTCTTCATTCCTCAATTTCTATGCACATAGCTGCTGATTATCTCCTTGATGAAACCACCAATCAGGTTTTTTCTCCTGAAAATATATTCATTTCCATCATGTGATATTGGGAATTTTATATTTCATATAATTAACAAACAGACTAATTATATTTTTGTTCATGATTCAGTGGGGTGCAAATCTTGAATTGATGCATGATCGAGTCTTGAAACATCCAGAACGTGTGCAGAATCTATACTTCACTTTCCTCTTTGTTCTAAGAGCTGTGACAAAGGTAAGAATATTAAAATTTTCTAGGGTTAATTACTTATTTATGTAACAAAGTTTCATCTGTATGATATTTTGTGTCTTTTATGTGTTAAATTACAGGCTGCTCCTTACTTAGAGGAAGCTGAGTATGACTCTGGAAACCATTTGGAGGATCTGAAAGCCCATTCATTGATTAGACAACTAATTCACAATCCCAAATTACAAGCTGCATGCCCTCTTCCTTTTGATGAGGCTAAATTATGGCAAGGGCAAAGTGGTCCAGAATTAAAACAACAGATACAAAAACAGTTTAGAAACATCAGGTTTCACTCTCTATATCTTATTCCTTTCAGCCAAAAAATATCCATATTTGAATAACTAAACTTGTAGGATAAGTGAATAACTTTTAGAGTAAATTACAATTCCAGCCCCTGTACTTTACCTAAAATCACAGTTTATAACCAAAAACTTGTACATTTTGCAGTGCTCTTATGGATTGTGTAGGGTGTGAGAAATGTCGTCTATGGGGAAAGCTTCAAGTTCTTGGTCTTGGAACAGCATTAAAAATCCTATTTTCTGTCGATAAACACCCAAATCAACATGTGAGTTTTAATTTCACAAACCTATTTTCAATTCTATTTTTTTTTTAAAATAAAAATAAAAAGATTGATTGTTCCTTTTTGTTTAAAACTGTATTATTATTATTGGCTTATTGCAGCTTCAGTTACAAAGAAATGAAGTGATTGCATTGATGAATTTACTTAATCGATTGTCTGAATCACTTAAGTCAGTAACTGATATGGGCTCTTCAGCTGCCATGGATGGGTTATTGTTGCAAAATCCCAATGCAAACCCAAAAACA